TTTCTTCGATTTTTATAAACTAGATAAAATTTACTTAAATCTGATATAAATTTCTATATATACTCTAGTACTAAAATTTTAAATAAACTTGGTGAAAACGCGCACTTAACTATACTATCAGCCAATTGATAATAAATGGAATCCAGGACATTTTTCAAACTAAGGCAAATATCTTGGAAATTTCGTTCTGGGCACTCTAAATTTATTTAGCTTAGGAGAAACTAGATAAAATTTACTAAAATCTAGTACAAACTTTTGTATATACTCTGATACTAAAATTTTATATGAACTTGGTGAAAACGCGCACTATACTATCAGCCCACATTTTTCGAACTTAGACAAATATCTTGGAAATTTTGTTCTGGGCACTCTAAATTTTTCAGTTTAGCAGAAACTAAATAAAATTTACAAAAATCTAGTAAAAACGGCTATATATATTCTAATACTAAAATTTTAAACAAACTTTTATAACAACGAGCACTTACACTACCAATTGTCAAAATATAGAATCCAGGACATTATTTATTCGGGGCACTCTAATTTATTTAGCTTAGCATATGGCAGTATGTTTTTAATAGCTCTTTTCATACTTATATAAGTTAATTGAAACAAATATATATATGCAAACAATATTATATTATGATAGTGTAATGATATTCCCAGAATAGGTGTATACAATTTGTATCTTTATGTAAAAATCAATATATATATATTTAAGTCAAATAAAGCAAATTTTCAAATTAAGAGTTAAAATTTAGCTTAGCAGACTAGATAACATTTACTAAAATCTGATATAAATTTCTATATATATCTTGATACTAAAATTTTAAATAAACTTGGTGACAACATGCAATTACACCACAACTGAACAATATATGGAATCCAGGACATTTTTTGGTACCTTTTCAAATAACTTAAAAATTTTGTACCGGGCCCTTATTTTTATTTAGCTTAGCAGAAACTACATAAAATTTACTTAAATCTGGTACAAACATCTATTTACACTCTCATACAAATTTTTTAAATAAAACCAACTGCACGTATACTATTTGCCACAATCAGGTAATTTTTGAACTCAATCTAACTCCTGACTCTATGAATTCCATAGACATCTATTTTTTCAACAAAAAAAAAAATTGCACACGGAAGATTTGTGCGTGCATTTGCACTAATATTAATATCTAGTTTATTCAATATAACTGGTTTTTAAGTAGTCCATAATTTTTGCACTCTACTACACTCCATTAACAAGAACTTAATAAACATTTCTGATATGGTCAGTAGATTCACGCACCTTACATATATCAATACAACAAAAAAAAGAGAAAAATGGACTCTACTGACGAACAACTTAAAGTAGATGACAATTTATATATAGCTAAATTACCACGATATTTGTACATAATTAGTATAAATAATGCAATTTATATTACATTTCTGTTCAGCTTCTTTGTGGGGATGATGACACGTATGCAGTGTCGAAACGTATGAACTAAATATTTGTCATTATGATGTTTTATGTTCGACTTAATCTTATCGTAACAAAATCTTCAGTACTGAATTCTATATATTTGAAAACTGTGTAATTGTGTTTTGCCACCAAGTTTATTTAAAATTTTAATATTAGAGTATATATAGAAATTTATACTGAAATTAAGCAAATTTTATCTAGTTTCTGCTACGTTAAAAATATTAGAGTGCTCAGAATGAAATTTTCAAGTTATTTAATAAGTATAATATATTGTGTAATTGCTTGTTGTTACAAAGTCTATTCTAAATTTTAGTATAAAAATATATATAAAAATTTGCACTGGATTTAAGTAAATTTTATCTAGTTTCAGCTAAGCTAAAAAAATCAGAGTGTCCAGAATGAAATTTTCAAGTTATTTGAATAAGTGTAAAAAATGTCCTCGATTTCATATACTGTCAATTGTTAGATAGTGTAATGGCGCTTTGCCACCAAATTTATTTAAAATTTTAGTTTAAGGGTATATATATAGAAGTTTGTACTAGATTTAGGTAAATTTTATCTAGTTTCTGCTAAGCTAAAAAAATTAGAGGCCCTTAAACAAAATTTTCAAGTTATTTGAATAAGTACAAAAAATGTCCTGAATTCCATATATTGTCAATAGGTCGAGAGTAATTGCACGTTGCCACTATGTTTAATCAAAATTTTAGTATCAGAGTATATAAAGAAATTTGTACTAGACATAAGAAATATTTATCTAGTTTCTGCTAAGCTAAAAAAATCAGAGTGCCCTGAATAAAGTTCTCAAGTTATTTAAATAAGTTAAATGTCACGAATCCTGGACAGTTTGCAAAAAGTGTATGAGTGCCTTGCAACTAAATTAATTAATTTAAAATAATATATAATTATTATATTGTCATAAATAAATAAATATTTTTTACTTACAATCAGAATCATCACAAAATCTGTAAAACTCGATGGCTTTTTTGTACGAATCTCGTCTTAAGAAAACCACATTGAGGTCTAAAATACTCAAATTGTCCTCGGAGAAAAACATTGTCACAATAATTACACAAAAACTACTATTTTAAAAAGTCATTTTCTACATAGCAATATTTATAAAACTCTATTGATATAAATATAAAAATTGTATGTACTCTAAAAATAATTCCACTCAATTTTCATTCAACTAAATTATCTTTATCAAAACAAAAACTTTCTGTTTTCCACAAACAACTAAAATATCTTTTAAAACAATTATTAAAACAAAAACTTTCTGTTAAAACGAAATCGAAACAGCTGCGTTTTGAAAACAATTATTAATTATTATTAATAAATAAAAGTCTCGGATAAGATATTTTCATATAAATATAGATTGGAAAATATTTTTGATAGTAATGAAATGTTTTGTAAACTGTTTTATGTGAAATAATGAAACGATACCTTTCTTGTTGAACATGCGCACTTGAGGTTTAGATAAAAAGTGTTATTTACTAGATAAGAATATATATATTATATATATATATATATATATATATATATATATAACATATCGATAAAATACTCAATTTGTTTAGATATGATAACACGAATATTTAGTTCACGATACGAGATTTAATCAGCGTTTTTTTTTTAAAATTTAGCAAAGATCCAAACCAATATTACTTCCCAAAGACTAAAACGATTTCCTAGTCTAACCCTATTAAAATTAATTTCATTATAAAAATTAATTAGAGTCGTAAAGTTTAGCATAAGCTCAACGTATGGGACAATTTTTGAAATTTAACTAATACCCAAACCAGGTTCTTAGTTTTATTTAATTTTTATATGCCCTTAAAAAGTATAAAAATAATTTTAAAGTTTTTTAAAAATTGATTCTATTTTTTTCGTTTAATGTGTATATAGTAGTACAAACGATGAAATTTCACCAACACTTTCTAAAGTTTAGCAAAGACCCGAACCAGGTTCAGAATTTTGCTAAAACTGTTACCCATAATTTTGATAATCTTTCAATGAACTGAAACAATTGTATAAATTTTCAATAATAAGTAGTTTAATTATAAAAATTAATTACAGTCGCAAAGTTTAGTACAAGCACTTGACATATGACAAAATTTCAAAATTTAGCTAAGAACCGAACCAAGTTTTTAATTTTCTTAATTCTTTACATGCCCATGAAAACTCGTTTAATTATAAAAATTGTGTTTAAATCATTCAAATCAGTTGAACCTTATTAACTTCCCGTAGGGCAAGTTATAGTAATTGCAAAAAAATCGAAAATGAAAATGTTTATATAACTTCACGTTTCAAAAGCTTCTGAACATTTTGGCATACCTTAAAAAAAATGGATGTGTGTGCGTGTATGTATGTAAGTTCGGATACAAATTTTCGTCGACGATTTCGGGAACACGTATTAAGCGATTTGAATAATTCAAAAAAACATTCGATTTGTATTGATAAGGAGACGTGCAGATTATTTTTTGGCGAAGGCAGATCTAGCCGTTCCGAAGATACTGGGCAAAAAGTTCCGAAAACGGTAACTCAGTTTTTAAGAGAACGGAGCGTCCGATTTGAATAATTCGGACCGATTTGAATAATGTATTGACTAAATGAAGAACTGTTCAAATTTTTGAACAGGCAGGTCCAACGACTTTGGAGATATGGAGGAAAAAGTAAAAAAAATGAGCCATTTGGCGGTCAAAAATGAACATTAGACATATGCACATCGTATTATCAGATATTTTATAGATATTTTTACAATAAGTATAAATTTTGTTTACATTTCTATGGGTTCCGTACCAATGTTTACGCGTTAGACGGCGACGCGGCGCTTACGCGCTTCGTTATTTTGTCTTTATGCCGTTAAAGCAGTACGATTGCTTTGAAAAAAGTTCAGAATTTCCAAAATATTTCAAAATAAATTTTTCTTCAAAAAGTCTTTTTTTTTTAAGAAAAAAAGTAAATTGTTAAAAATTTAGTTTCTCAAAAATATAATGTTTTCAGAGTAATTTTTTTTTCAAAAATGTTAATCGTTTTTAAAAAAATAATAATTTTTGGTACGGAAAGTTCCTGCAATTTGCCGTAAGGCACGATGCCATGCGCCCCACTAGTTGCACTTTTTGCTCCAAAGTACCTCTATAACCATTGATCCTGTCTTTGCCAAAAACGAATCATCTCGTCTCTCCATCAATAGGAATCGAATGTTTTTTAAACCACTCAAATCGGTTGATCCGTGCGCCCTAAAACGTGACTGGAAATTTGTATCCACACATACATACACACACACACACACAAACATCCATTTAGTTTCTGAGGTATGCCAAAATGTTCAGAAACCTTCAAAACGTCGAGAAATGTAAAAATTTTCAATTCCGATATTCGGCCCGTTATCCTACGGGAAGTTAAAATCAAGAATATATATTTAGAATGAGCTATATTTTTTCTAAGGTATGCCAGAATGTTCAGAAACCTTTGAAACGATTTTTGGTCAATTACTATAACTTACTAATTACAAAATAAATATTCCTCTGACCTTTATTATAATCCGATGAAGCTCCCATGCTGACGCACTCCGACACGCACCTATCTCCTGGCGCCATCTCTGCGTCACCGACCTGCTGCTGCTGTCTGATTTTCATCATCATCGCATTTGCATCATCGAAACCATCTTCATTTCTCATCACCGACCTATCACTTTTCAAAGTAGAACTATCATCAGAAAAATCACTATTCTTTATCATCTTATTATGACGCCTATAATCATCACCACACTGCTTATCATCATCAATAATCGCCATTAAAGTGAAATCATCGTTATCATCATTTTCTTCGTCCTCTTCGCGAACTGTGGCTTGTTTTGTTCTAAGACAAAATCGGTCTTGCTGATGATCGGATGATGATGATGATGATGATTTGTTATTGCCGATGATGAAACGGTGACAGTTGAGAATCGATGCTGAACCGTTGGAGGACGATGATGATGATGATACGTCATCGTTGATGAATGGTTGGTGGTTGCAGGGCGAGCGGCTGTCGAGGCGGACGCGGGGGAGCTCGGAGCCGAAGAATAAAGCACCCAACTGGAAAAAGATAATTAATAGTAATAAGATTGAAGTAAAACTTGATTGCTACTGTACAAGATGGCATTTAAGTAAGTAAGCACAATTTTGAATAATGTTTATTAGTAATTACCATATTACTAATACTCGTGATCACATTTATTAGTATCGACAATTATACACATTTATATATTAACTAACAAACCCAACGAACTCCGTTTCGCCACCAGATGGTTTCGTGAGAAAGATGAAGAAATTTTTTGTTTGTTTTATATTTGAAAAGGAAAAATTTGATTTTATTGCACAGCAGTAATGAATTTATTTCGATTACAAAAATGAAGTGTATTTTAGTTGAACTTCTCTTAGTAAATGAAAGTAAATCCACAAATTATCCATTTCATTGAAGTGCTCTTTGATAAACCACATTTTTTGTTTTTTGGTCTGACGTTAACACAAACAAAGCGGATGGTTTTCCAACTCGGAACAGGCAACGTATAACTGCCCATATGAAAAACAATGATTTTCTAAATAATCTACTTGAAATTTATCCCGCAAACACTAAGCAATGGCCTTGCGACTTGTTATTGCGAACACAAGGCGAACTGGAAATTGCAATCGTTTGAAGTCAAACGGAAGACCAGTCGGAATCAATGGTATGTCACCAAATCGCCAGCAATTTTTGATTGAATGGTGAAATTCAGTGCGTGTACATCATTATTCTTTGCGGCAAGAATTGCTCGTTGACTTAACCAAGCATAATTCTGATAATTCTCACTAATGTCATTACTCGAATTTTTAATTATGGTGCGTGAAGTTCCAGCAGCTTGCATTAAGGTACGATGCCATGCACAACTAATTTTCTTAGCTATAAACCTTGCGGAACCCGAGACCTTTCCAACGAATGCAAAATTGTCGAAATCGGTTCGTGCGTTCTGGAGGAAAACCCGACTTATTTTTATATATATAGAAGATTATTTCCTCATTGCATATTATTTTTGTAATTGAAAGACGTTTCACATCATTGTATGGAAAACGATAATGGCATCACGTTTTAAATTGCATTTCATATGATATTGAGTCATTTATAATGCATATATATTATATATATATATATATATATATATATATATATATTTATTACGATGCATATATAACATATATATATGTTATTTATGCATCGTACTTATGAAACCAAATAGTATTGCCATCTACCGCGCGTATAAATCTCAAGAGCAGATATTTAAACCTCGAGACTCTACATATTACATGAGCTCACTCACAAGCAATAAGTAAAGTTCTATTAATTCAGTAGTTGAATATGAAGAAATGGCTTGGCCGATCTTTACCAAAAACTAATCAGCACAACCTCTAACCGATATTTCTCGAACAATTTTAGAATTTTCAAAATCGGTTCAAAATTTTTGGCTAAATCGAGATTGAAATATTGTGCACTAGTCGATTTAAACGATTTATGTTGACTTTTTGAATGATAGTAATAAACAAGTAAACTTAGAACGAATCCACTTCACTCTGTATGAGTGTTTTCAGGATATCATAGATGGTGCTAGTGTGCTTCGGGATTTATTTTAAAACACATTTTGTCTAGATACATCATACGTACTTTCAACGTTGAAGTACCAATTTTGTATATAGAAATATATCTTTTTCGAATGAAAAAATGTTAAATTTTTTCTCATTTTACAACATATTAGTGATTTTGTTAAAATATATTTTAATGGCGTATATTTTGTTTTCATTTAACTCGGTCAAATAAATCAGGTTTATTTTTTCTATATTATATATTTATCTATATAAATTTTATCCTAGATTTAAACCTTAGGGTAAATTTACGTGCTACGGTCGGTGGCGACATCTATGATATGCTGAAAGAACTAAAAACTATGTAATTTCAAAGTTGCCGTGTTGGCAATCTATTTACACTTGTTTATATATGATAATAAAAAACAATTTATATTTCTAACACAACAAACAACACAACATCGAAGTTTTACCTTGATGTCTCTATTAGGCGTTACTGGAAAAATCTTCACAGAGCAGCACAATAAAAAAATATTATTGAATTAATATTCAATAAACTTAAATAATTAAGTATATATATATATATATATATATATATATATATTTAAAGGAATGAGTAACATGTATAAATAATTAGTAATATATATAAAGTTTATTACAAAATGGTTCAAGTTCATGCTAAAACAAACGGCGTATAAACGTGCTGCTATCTCGAAATACTACAGCACACTACGCAACGGTTTTAAAATTTAAAAACAATTAAATTAAGTTTCTCTTTC